GTTAAGTGTTCAACCCTTAAATTATTTGCTAACCCTTAAATTATTTGCTGATGATTGTGTGCTGTATTCCAAAATCACTAACCCAACTGATTCTATCAGACTTCAGAATGACCTAGATAACGTGTCTCTCTGGTGTCGTGACTGGCGGATGAAACTTAATTCAACCAAATGTAAAAGCATGCATGTATCTCGAAAAACTTCAGCTTCTAACACTTGCATGTATCTTCTTAATGATGCTCCCTTATCCTCAGTGCACTCGTATGAATATCTTGGGCTTAACATTCCTAAAAATCTATCCTGGCAGAAACACGTCGAATACGTCACTAATCGTGCTAACCGCATGCTCGGATATTTGCGACGAAACTTTTCTTCCGTACCCATCCCAGTAAAACTAAACCTTTACAAAACGTTAGTACGCTCTAAACTGGAATACTCATGCGCCATCTGGGATCCCGGTCAAGTAACCCTAACTCTCACTCTAGAAGTCGTTCAAAACTGCGCAGCCCGTTTCATTTTGTGCAATTATTCCCGTCATGCCAGCGTCACAGCCATGAAAAAAAACTCTGAACCTAACCGACTTATCATTCCGTCGAAAATGCTCTCGCCTTTCTCTTTTTCATAAAATTTATCATTACAATCCATCTTTAAAAGAGAGCCTTCTCTCTTCCCCCTCTTACATTTCACCTCGTTTCGATCATTGCTTTAAAGTAGGTGTGCCATTTTGCCGTACAAACCACTACAATGGTTCCTTCATTCCCAGAACAAGCAAAGACTGGAACTGCCTTTCCGCGGCCACCGCATCCCTCATCGACCCTGCAAACTTCAAACTCTCCATTTTGCAGCAATTGTAACATTTCGCTTACTTTTTCTTGTATAACCCCCCTCCTTTCTGTAAAGCCTTTGGGCATGGAAAGAATTCAAATTAATATGTAAATAAATGAAACATCTAAGGATATTTGCAGTATTTTTAAATAAATAGCTAAAATCTTGTATTGTGAAGCCTGTGTATTGTAATGTTATTTTCACTGCATTTGCAAGCAGAGGAAGCTGTTTCAGCTGTATTACTGAGCATACGCGTGGCTCTGTGGTAGAACACTTGCTAGCTAAGCAAACGGCCTTGGTTCGATGTTCCCTCAGACTCGGCAATTTTTATAATTCATTTTATTGGCAAATTTTTGTTTTTTGGTCACGCACGCGCTGATTTCTCGCTCAAAACTAATGACGACATGTTGCCACTGACGCCAGAATACAACTGGCACGGCGTCGGCGCCAATACTGTGCTTTAGTTACTTTAGATTTGGCTAAAGCGTACGATAAGGTTGAGCATTCAATTTTAATTAAAACAGATTGAATATCACCACTTTCCCAACTACATCACTGCGTGGGTGTCGGAGTTTTTAAGAGGGAGAGAATATTACTGCTTTAAAGATGGGTACTCATCGAATAGATATAAGCAGACACGTGGTGTACCACAGGGGGCTGTCCTGTCGCCAGTTTTATTTAACATTTTCTTAAGCTCCATTCCATCAACCAAGCATATTCAGTTATATGTGTACGTGGACGATATTGTTTTCTTTTTGCAAGTAATACCGATCTTCAATCATTATACCAGAGTCTACAAAATTATCTCAATATGATAAGAAAGATGGCTTAAAAATATTCATAAGACCCTGAACGTAAACAAAACTGTGCTTCTTGCATTCTCTTTTCTGCAGCCTATCAACATCTCGTTAATGTACAGTAATGAGCTCATTCCGCAGGCGAATTCCCTTATATATTTGGGCATCATATATAATGACACATTAAATTGGAGAAGTCACATTGATGATGTGTACTCCAAGGCAACACGGGCCATGGGGTGGCTACGGAAGCTTGCAAACCGTAAAGCGGGTTTAAGAAGAGATGTGCTAATAATGATATATAAACTTTATGTGCGGCCCATCATGGAATTCGGATGTGTATTGTTTTCTGGCAGCGCAGCTTATAAATGAGACCCCTAATACTGCTGGAAAGAGAAGCGTTGCGTTTGTGTCTGGGTCTACCAAAGTTTGTTGCAAATAACGTGTTGTATATGGAAGCTCGCCTACCTTCTCTGCTCAATAGGTTTCAAATTCTTACTGTGCAAGCATTCTTAAAGATATACAGTTCACACCAAAGACTCATTTTACGCTTTCATTCAAGAACCAACTTTATTTTTCGAAACCCGTTGGTCGCGACTACACACCTCGCAAATAGTATTTGCACAAGCGCTACTAAAGCAACTGAATGTAAAAATTAGACATATTGGTCCAATACACAACCTAAAGTCAATGCTTAGAATACAGTTCGATGATATATTTCCTCATAACGCGAAACAGTTGGCATACAGGTATTTGAATGACCAGTTAGCAGATTCTCTAGCCCACCTAGAGATAAGCAATATCATAGCGACTGATGCATCTGTGTCAAAAGAAAAGGCTGGGGTTGGCATCTTCTCTCCTTCTTTGGACTGGTCCTTTTCGATTCGACTCCCAGATTATACCCCGGTATTCATTGCAGAAATATTGGCCATTGTTCTCGCCCTACGCAAATTACCCTCAAGCTAATCATTAGCAGTTATCATTACAGATTCGTTATCAGTTTGTAATGCACTTTCTGCGGCAGTAAATTCAGAGCTGATGAATACGTTTCGGCATTTAGTACCGAAAAACGTAAAAAAACTGCACTTGCTATGGGTACCAGGCCACCGCGAATTATATTTGAACGAAATGGCGGACTCTTTAGCAGCAGTATCCCAAGGTGGGCCCACCATCCCAGGGTGGGCCCACCATCCCAGTTTTGCCAGATACGGCTTACGTAACCGCGCTAAGGTTCCGAAATGCTTGCCTGCAATGGGGAAAAGGTAATTTGGATAAATTCAAAGATTTCGAGCATTTGAGCTGTTGCTGGAATAAACAGTGGTGTGTATCTCGCCAGTTAGAGGTCACTTATACCAGATTGCGCTGTGCAGTTCCACAACTAAATACCTTAATAAAGCTCGGCTCAAGGCGTCACCGCTATGCATTTGGTGCAACGAAATTTAAACAATTGAACATTTCTTTTTATTCTGTCATCGTTATTTTTATTAGAGAAAAAGATTTTTAGTAGCCCCATTACAAAAGCTAGGAATACAAGTAAATTCACCAGTAATTTTATCACTTGGCGGAACTTCATTTGGTTACTGCCACAGGGATGTATGCTCCGCTGTGTTTGATTACATCAACGCAACTAAAAGATTACCATGCTAGTGAACCCATTCCTTTTCAGGTCTTTAGTTTATAATTCGTAGTTATGTCTTTCAAAAACAAAAGATGGTTTGACCGCTTGCTCAGCAAACGGTTTTGCTTTTTGGTAGTATTATTTTAAACTACTTTTTCAGATTGGCTTCATTTTCAATTTAGTTTCATTTAAGTATTCTGCCACCCGGTTCTTGGCCCATCCCCCTTTGTGGGTAAGCGCCATCCATCAGAGGTCATCAGCATCAGAAGTTTTGCAAAACAAGCTCTTTAATACTATCAGCGTTGATAAACACTTTAAAACACTGCAACTTCACGATACTTCCAGGGAAAAAGCACACTCCAATACAGCGATGGGCGTGATGTACCGTAATCGAGAGTTCGGCGGGATACCGCCTGGTCAGGTAAAAAAATTGTAACGAAATGCAATAATAATACTAATAATAATATTAATAATAATAATAACAATAATACTAACACTGTTTGTCCTCATCATCGTTGTTGTTATATATTATTATTATTATTATTATTATTATTATTTGGTGTTTTTAACGTGCACTGACACCACACAGTACAGGGACCGATACAATGTCACCTTCATCACCACACATTACACGGATGGGATCAAACCCACGACCTCCCGGTCAGCAGCCGTGCACCCTAGGCCTTGCTCCTCCGAGGCGCAATGTCAAAGCAAAGTAAATAGCATTATAACGCGAGACCTTCAGACAACTTGTGTCACAGACATCCTGCCGTCGGCGTTGGCATCGTTGGGTGTGATCGGAAAATCATCCGTGAGCAAAAAAGCAAGTTACAAAGATCGTCGCGGGAGGCCGCTTCTTGTCCATACGTGCGCGCGTGATCACACTAAAAAATCTGCGCATTCAAGCAACGAAAAAAAATGCTCAAGGCAACGAGACACGGGTGACGTTGTTTCTTTGCCCCTGCCACCCCTGCCTGCTTAGCTTCCAGCGCTTTCGTCGGGACGAGAGAAGAGAATGCAGTTGTAGCATGCGACAAGCCTTTGTAACTCCACTCGCACTTGACGGATTCTTGAAAATTTTGCGGCGTTGAATGCGTGAGGGAATAAGCTCTTCCAGTGAATTGATTCCATAGTTACTTGAAAGTGTTTCAGGGCCCCTTTAACGCATTTTGTTCCACAAGTGTCACGACGAAAACGAGCCCCTTCGGCGATTTGTAGGCTCATTTTGGAGGCCTCAAACTACGTCGGAAAGGGCCAGAATAGTGCAGCCATCGCCGCTAAAAACACTCGAGAACTTTCAAACAGCTCTAAAAATGGGCAACTATGTCCATCTAGCGGAAAACTTATTCCTTTCCAGAGGCGTTGATCAAGCAAACAGCAAACGCTATATAATGTAGTGCTATCTGTAATGCATTGAGACTCTTTATGGCCTCCGCGATGGCGAGCCCATGGCGTGCATCTTGAAGGCCATGCGACCCTTATTTTAGATCTTTAGTGACTGTACTCATGAGTGACTTTGCCGACCTATAGCCTTGCCTTTTTTTTGTTTCCTTACAGAGAGCAGCGTACAACTAAAACATATCGCGCGGTTTCTTATTACATTGTCTGAATATTACTTGAACAATCTGTTTTAAAACACTCCTGACTCTCATGCAGCAAGGTGTTTTATTTATAAATCGGGGCAGACAACGGGGCGCATTTGCGCTCACTCGAATAATTTCTGTGGAACACCGTCCAGGAGGATAAAGATAGTGTCTACGTACCCCCTTTTCTGCTTTTCCTTTTCAAAGTGATGAGAGAAATCCTCGGCGATCTTGGCTGTCTGGTTAGATTGATCCAGGAACCACATGTTGTGCATCTGCAGGGGCCTCTTGAATCCCATTATTGCCATGCTGTTAAAAAGAACGCCACGGGCTGCATCAAGTTCGCTCAAGCCAAGTGATTTTATCTCAACATTCATGACATCAAAGTTTCATCCAGTTAACATGACTAGACATTGTTTAATTATACTAACGACACGCTCGTATTGAGGTTCGTCATTGCTATGTTTTCGTTGCTGTCGTTAAGGGCATTCCAGCTCCCAACGTTTTTATTGTCAGTGTGAAACAGTTTCATTTCCTCGTAACTCTTCCAAAGTAATGATTTCATTAATCTGGTTCAGTTAGGTATGCATGTTTGTAACACGGGTGTTTTATGCCGGGGTTCACCAAGTCTTCAGTGACGCACTTCCGTTATGACAGTGACGTCGAAAAATCACGCAAAATAAAAAGAAAGAAAAACGTTCCGGCAACGGTAGTAAAACCGTTGACCTCTGGGCCTGTGACGACAAATGTTAGGCCCACTTTCCACTGAGCCATGTTCGCATACTTCGTAAGCCTAAAAAATTCGTTTTTGATATCTACCACTGTCCTCTCAGAACGTTCTTGGTAAAGTGCAGGAATGCATCATTACCGTGGCATCCGCGATTGATTCCTTGAACACGTCGTTTGCGACTGTCCGTCGCGTTTGGCGTGTTTTCAGTAGGACAAACTGCACATTTCTCGACGCCTTAACACACACCGAGATTGAGAACTTACCCCAAGCCATACAGCTTCCTAACATTCACTAGAGGGGAGTATGGCGCGGCGATCATTCGGCAACTATGGGGATTATTGGTAGTACACGGATCTGCCTATCCCAAGTGCTTGCGGGTTTCGAACACTCATCGCCCCTGATGGCGGTTCCCATTTATCAAGGGCTCGTACCACGTGATTGCGTACACGTTCACTCGTGGTCGTTTTTCTGGAGTTGGTACAGAACGAGTGGATCAGGTCAAATTGCATGAAGTTTTTGCGAGCAATATTGTCCGGTAATGCGAACTGTATCAAACGATACCAGAAAGTGAACCTTGAGTTAAATTAGTGTTCATGTATGCACCAATACTGAGAATAGGCATCTATATGCATTTGGGTACAAACACCAAAAATGGGCATTTAAAGGCTCTATAACACACTGTAAACGTCCTTCTTAGCCTCTATTTGGTGTACATACATCAAAGTAGGCTGATACGGACTCATGTAACAAATTAGTCAGCAACCTAAAACGAAGTCTCTACTCGTCTTAACGAGTGTACATGTAATCAGGGCTTCACAGTGCTTGTCTCGCAACTGTATTGACGTCGCAAGTTCACCAACCATCAGCGACATTCACTAAGCGAGGGACTGTTTTACTGCAAGAATATTGCTGAAAGCACTATGAAAAGGAAAGTTGCTGACACCTCCAAGCTTGCAGAAAAATCGAAATGCTCGATTGTTTAGCGTATTAAATCATTTTACTTGCGATCAGATAACTTCTTTTACCATTACACACAACATAACAACGTGCGGGCGGCATGTCACCAATCACGATACACTTTTGTTCTCAAACGTCGCTCTACACCACACAAGGACAGGCAATCAGTGAAGATGCACAATTAAATACAGAACTGCACTGGTTTGTTGCACACACATGGTCTCAGTTGTGAAACCTAGATAAATAGCATCATGTTATTGGCCCTGAGGAGGCTTATTCACCGGCACTGGCTTCAGCTTTCACCATCTCATATAAACTACTGCCCTACACGGCGCTATTTCGACCAGAGTACGGGATAGTAGCGCGGTTTCCAGGCTTGAAGATAGTCGCAAGGCCACCGGAGTAATTAAAATTAACATACAAGAAAGCCCAAAACCCACATACCTTGGGAATCGACGTTATCAAAGCATACGGAGGGAAGGTGACCGTATTGTAATTGTTTTTATTGAGAGGTGACAAAATGACACTAAATATATGCAAAAATGTTCCGCACACGGACATACGTTGGACATTTGCACATGTTTTATACAACTAATTGTTCGCACTTGCGCAACGATGCCAACAGGAACATGATTATTGGCAACACGAGAACCGGTAAGCTGATATCTAACTCTTGTGCTCGAGACGGTAGTAGCCCTGGACATTACTACGTTATTTACTCCATTGGATGGCAATTACCTACAACGTACCTACAACGTACCATAGTAGTACAGATTTAATGTTTCTAAAATTCCATAACCAGCGTTCCCACAACAACTGACCTTTCACCAACACTCCACCTGAACAGTGTACTTTCCCAAGCAGCACCAAGACGTGGCACGGCTCTGTGGTAGAATACTTGATTACCATGCAGAATGCTTGGGTTTGATTCCTGCGCTGGGACCCCGGCGTTCGTAGTATCAACACTGGCAATGTTAGTACTTCTTATTGCTCTCGCGTTGAAATTACCAATGCTTGTTGGAACCAATACTGGGTACATATTGTCACGGTGTCGTGACGCAGACAATGGGTGCAGACTTGATGTTCTGTATAAATTGGTTATTCGACCGTACTTGTGGCCACGTAAAAGGAACGACAGATTACAGCTATACACTGGCAGTGATAGCGGCGAACAGAGCGTCGGCCGTCGATCAACTGACAAGCGGCGAAGCGCGTCAACATTTATTCACGTGTCATCGAATATTCTAGCGCTTTTGAAAGCGCCCATGTAGGTTCCAGATTAATCTGCAGTGTTCGTGAAGTGGGTTTAACCCTAAATAAATGATCTACTATAGTCCTGAAGCTTCAACGCTGCCGGCGTGGTTTTTGCTGAGAATTATGTACAGCGCAACAATGCGAAAACAAAACTTGAGGAAAGAACGGGGCATTACCCCCTTCTAAAAAATTGGTTCCAAATCTGCATGTTACACCGCACATGTAGTCGAAAGACGATAGTCTTGCGTCTGGAGAGAGGAAACAAAACGTTTTTTTTTTTTTGATGTTCTGCGCAAGAAAATTGGTGAAGGGTATTCTGGAGGTGCTGCGTTAGAGTGCCTCGAGCGTGTAGCGGAAGTGAATGAGAGAAGTGGTTATAAAAGGGAAAAGAAGAGAAAAGTGAGCCCCGTAACTGCATCAGGGGGCGACACCTCAACAGTAGAAGGCGAACGAGCGCATCGAGGCACGTTAGACACAAGTGCCATCTGGCAGTCATCTTCGAAAAAGAAGGCATCCAGCCCGCGGAGAAAGATGCGCGCCAGTCTCGGAGGTGATAAGGTGTAAAACGCAAAGCGACGGGCAGGTGCCACCAACATGTCGTAGTAGCAAAGTGTTGAAAACATCTTTTTGAGCATCGCGTTGCTCTGTTAGCGCAGCGCGATTAAACGCTATATTCCTTAGAGTTACTTGCGTGTGCCTCTTTTAGTATAAAGGCAGACATACAAAACTTCTAAGTGTTATGGCACTTCAGATATGCACAATAATTGCTTTTAATTGACAATCGCGCAACTTTGAACGCTAAACCTTGAGCAATACTGGTGGGCGCAGCGAATGGGGTTAGCCGTTTGAGGTATCGTTAAGACGAACAAACAGACAAATGTACAGACAGACAGACAGACCAAAATTTTTTCGTCGAAGGTCCCCGAGAAAGACTATCGTCTTTAAAAGCATCGTCCATATGCTCAAAAAAAGATGAAATTATAATAATAGTGCAAGACAGTACAAGCCCTAAATTACGATACAGCAATGACAACAACTAACTATGCTCTTTTGGTTCGTTAACGCGCATGAAATGGCTTGAGACGTGGCATGAACGACTTCAGGTCACGATCGGCGCCGTTAAGAGTTCGTAATGCAGTCGAGGACAACCTCATAGTCGAGTCGGCCAAGGCGTCGATCTACCCTGTGTGGTCCGAAGTACCATCGCAGAAGTTTTTCACTGAGTCCAAGTCATGGCATCGGCATCCATATTCAAACACGTCCACCGGGCTGGTATTCTACGAAGCGTAGTCAAAGACTGCAACAACTGCAGTCGGTCGTCTGTTCTTGATGCGGAGGTGGGCGAGTTGTCGGGCTTTTCGGTGGCTGAAGGTACTCACTCACACCGAGGTTTTCTGCGTCAGTGATGTAAGGGAACATGGCTTCGAGCGTCGTTGCAGGGGTCCTTCCGTAGACCAAGTGGTACGGCGTCACCTGCGTCATTTTCTGTACGGCGGTGTTGTACGCGAAGGTACCGAACAAAAGGATGTCCTCCCACGTCTTGTGTTGGACGTCCGCACATGGTCAGCATGTCTGCGATGGTCTTATTTAGACGCTCAGTGAGGCCATTGGTTGTGGGTGGTACGCGTTTGCACGGCGGTGGTTTGTCGGGCTGTATCTCAGGATTGCTTGAGTCAGGTCAGCAGTAGACACCGTACCTCTGTCCGCGATGAGAACTTCTCGGGCACCATGCCGAAATATAATTACAGCGAAAAACTTGGCTACCACGGTAGCACTGACTTTAGGCGGGGCTTTTGTTTAGCGTAGTGGGTGAGGTAGTCAGTAGCTATGATAACACAGTTATTTCCGCAAAGTGACGTCGAAAACGGCCCCAGGATGTTCATCCTGATCTACTGGAACGGTCGCCGGGGAGGGTCCATTGGCTGGAGGAAGGCGACTGGGCCTGTTGGCGGTGTCTTAAGTCGTTGATGGCCTCGACATGTCTTCACGTAATGAGTGACGTCGGTGTTATGGTGCAGCCAGTAGTATATTTCTTGTATCCTCGTGAACGTGCGCGAAACACTAAGGTGTTCTGCCTTTAAGTCATCGTGCAGGGTCTGAAGGAGTTCTGGTCGCAGAGCTGAAAACGCTAAAAGAAGGTACTTAGCTCGAAGCGGCGTGAAGTATTTTTTGGAGAAGTCGTTTCGCAGCGAAAACGAAGGAAGTTCCCGCTTCAATACCTTCAGAACAACGGAGGTCCTGCCCTCAAGGTATTCGTTTAGGCCCCTAAGTTCCGTGTTGGCTCACTGTCGTTCAGCGGGTTGACAGGGGCACAAGACAGACAGTCGGCATCACACAGTTTTTTGCCGTGAACGACGGTAATGATTGA